TTCAAATCTTTTTAGCAAAAGAAGAGATAATTAATATTATTAAAGTAGAAATCTTAATAATTGACTAAACTAGAATAGTTTTATTTTTCTTTAACAAATAGAGCCGATAGAAAGAAAAACAAATGAATGAATATCAAAAAACCAGTTTACTATTTTTCTCACTTAATGTGATTCATTATCAATTGTTGTTTTAATAAATCCAACTTTTTGTCAATATTTGACGAGATCATATAGTAACTTTTCTTTAAGCATTAGAAGGTTTTTCTCTTTGATAAGTTTATCTTTTGATCGATCTTCTTCTAATTCCAAAAGTTCATTACTTTTTTAAATTCACCTTGCAAGTACATACTTATTTCTTGTAACTTTTCAGTCTAAATATGAAAATATTTTTATTTACTTCAAAACTTGGATTTAACTGTAGTTTAATAAACTTTCGTTGTGTAGGCACCATATATAGAAAAAGTATTTACCCAGGTAGGTCATTCAGAACATCTGAAACTGCACTTTATAAGGCATGAAAGGGCTAAAACTGAGTGTCGCTTTTGACCGTTTTTGTAGCCGTAATCCGGCATCCTTCCCCTAACTCTTACCTCTCCCTTCTCGTCACTACAATTTACTCAATTAAATACTTACTTTTTTTCGTACTGAATAATCTAAAATAAATAAATAATACTTGAAGGTTGTGTGAGCGTCAGATGAAGGTTAATGTAATATTCACAATAACACCTGCCTGGTGGTGAGTATGTTCTCAAATCATTTAAACAATGACAAGATGGACTGTGAATATTTATATTCATACACTTTGACTAACATTTCTTTTTTTATCTTGTTGTCATTTGTGGTACGTTAGTATTTAGTGTCATTGAATGACAAAAATAATAGAACAAAGAAAACGATGTTCTATTTCAAAATGCTTCTTTTGCATAAATCTATTTACTAGAATCTTCACTAATCTGTTATCGTGATTAATTAAAAGGTGATGACATACACATTCAGTCTGGGAAAATTTTTGACAAAATGCGCTTAATGAGCACATGAGCATTGTGTTGCAGATGCTTTTAGCATGCAATATCAAAATCGGAGTGTAAAAGGATAGAAAAGTCTTTTTTCTCTAATTTTACAAATTGCGACATTTATTTCAAAATTTCTTACACTATAAACAAGAATGTCTACTGCCACTACTGTAATCATTACCAATCTCGCTTTCATCACTGCACAATTAAATCGTTCACTTGCTCTCATAATTCTAATCTTTGGTACAATCGGCAATCTAATCAATATTCTCGTCTTTTCACGACGTTCTCTACGTAAACAACCATGTTCAATCTATTTTCTCGGTGCTTCAATCGCCAGTCTTTTTGCTCTCTACTCTGGTTTACTGAGTCGCCTTCTAAGTGGCTATAATCTTGATATATCAATTTATAATGATAGTATATGTAAACTACGATTCTTTACTGCCTATTGGTGTTTAACAGTATTAGCCTGGTTTCTCGTTTTTGCTTCTATTGATCGTTATCTCGGTACATCACGTCTTGCTTATCGACGAAATTTTAGTCATCGATACGTTGCCTATCGTGTGGTTTCTATTGCATCCTTATTAAGTTTTCTTGCTTATATTAGTGTTTTCTTTTGTTTCAACACTAATTCATTCCTATTATCACGTCAATGCTATTCTCAAGGAATTATCTGCCCGTTTGTTACTGATATAGAATTCTTAATTCTATATTCATTGCTACCAACTATTATAATGACAATTTTTGGTTCTCTCACAGTAAGAAATGTAAAACAGTTAGGCAGACATATAGCACCTGCCACTAGTAATATAATCGCTGCAAATAATCGTCAACTGCGTCGGCAAAAAAAAATTCAACTTGTACCAATGCTACTTACACAAATTGTTTTATTTCTTCTTTTTACTGTGCCTGTTGCTGTTAGTAAACTCTATACGTCATTAACAAATCTTCTGAACTATGAGAAAACAAATGAACAAGTGGCACGTGAAACATTTTCATATAATGTAACAGTTTTAATAACATATTTAAACTGTTCAGTGAGCTTCTATGTTTATGCACTGACAGGACATCTATTTCGAAATGAGTTGAAAAAGACAGCACAGAAACTCATTGATAAAAATTATACTTCAAGAACAACTACATGAACTATTCCTTAATTTATTCTTGTTTTCAAATGTATATTGTAGATTGTAAAATAAATGTTCTTTAGAAAATCGAAATATTTAGAGCATCTTGAGGATGTGGTTGAGACTGTTTTTTTTATCAACAGTGCCCATACTTACATCCTTTCAATAAATAAATTCAACTATTTTTGAAACAAAATTTAGTTTTCTATCATTTATTTAGAACGAAGAAGAATGAAATGTTTTACCGGAAGAAATTTTTTTATTACAATAAAAGCATTTCGACAATTCATACTTACATCTAACTGTATTAGTAATTTGTAGATGATGCGGCAAAAACAGAAGAAAAAAACATCACATCAACAAATGACACTGCACTCAGATAAGAAAAACACTTACTAAGGATAAGGAATAGTATAAATATTTTAAAATGAGAGTCATTTTTTATTTTTAAAAAAGGTAAGTACTCGAAAATAGAATATAAGATTGTTACTCATTGAATGAAATATTTAGATGCGATCTATATCAATTCTTGTACTTATTGTGTTAGCTTTGAGCAGTACATGGACTCGTGATATAACAATCAATCAACAATGGAAATTATGGAAAAATCAATTTAATAAAAGTTATACAAATGTTGAAGAACGTCTTCGGTATGAAGTTTTGTTGTCTTAGTTTTATATCACGATGTGTTTGAATATTTTAGTCGTACGATTTGGGGAAAAAACTTAGAAATAGTAGAAGAACATAATCGTCAAGCTGATCTTGGTCTTCATACATATCGACTTGGAATGAATCAATTTGCGGATTTAGTAATATTTTGTTGTTTATATATTCATTACAATTTGATTTGTAATTCTATTATAGACTAACGAAGAATTTGTAAAATTATTCAAGGGTTTTCATAGTAAAGATATTCGAAAAGAAAACCAAACGTTCGTGGTAAATCCAAATATTGAGTTACCAGATACTGTTGGTATGAATAATTAAAGGTATGATATATAACTGTTTCTTATTCTTTAATAGATTGGCGGGATAAACATGCTGTAGTTCCAGTGAAAAATCAAGGTCAATGTGGGTCATCATGGGCATATTCAGCAGTTGGTTCAATTGAAGGTGCATATGCAATTAAAACGGGCAAACTTGTATCACTTTCTGAACAACAATTAGTTGACTGTTCTACTAAACAAGGAAATATGGGCTGTAATGGTGGATTAATGACTCAATCTTTCGAATATCTTGAAGAAGCTGGTGGTATTGAATCTGAAGATACTTATCCATATAAGGATCATGAAGAGACATGCACATTCAATACATCAAAAGTTGTCGTGAAAGTCTGTGGATTTGTTAACATTTCATCAGGAAATGAAGATGCTCTTAAACAAGCAGTGGCTTTAATTGGACCAATAGCAACTGCTGTTGATGCTAGTCGTACTTCATTTCAAATGTATCAAAGTGGTGGTAGGTGCTTTTTTGATTTTGTTATATTAATTTGTACAATTTGTTATTTCTAGTTTATGACGAACCACAATGTAGTTCAGATCAACCTAGTCATGGCATTTTTATCGTTGGGTATGGAAATGAATCGGGTAAAGATTATTGGCTTTTGAAAAACAGGTAGTTATCATTGATTTTTAACAATTTTTATTCTTATATGTATATATATATATCATTATTCTAGTTGGGGTACAGATTGGGGTGAACAAGGTTATATTAAGCTTATACGTAATAAAAATAACGAATGTGCTATTGCCACAATGCCTAGTTATCCAATTATATGTTAAAATCATTTTACTCTTATATGATATCGAATAAAAAACGAATGATTTTCTTTATTTACAATAAAAAACAGAATGTGGGTGAGAGTGAATGAAGAGAATAACACTACGCTCACATTCATGCCTTATAAATATTTGTTTGATTATTTAAATTAATATATAAACTTTGAGAATATTTTAGTTAAATAGATTTAGAATCAATCCATTTTGATTATTCGATAATTATTTGTATCAACAATTCAAAAAATCATTTCAATTTGAATTTAAAGACATTTCCATCATTATCCATATTCATTGAAGTCACTCAAATCACAGAAAAACCTGATAAAAATTGATTTATAAAAGAAGATGAATAAACAAGAAAACCTGTTGAATTTGATAATTAAGACTATAAAAAATATAAAGTGTACCATTTAAAATTAAAATAATATTTGCTGGTTGACGAAGTCGCGACAATGATAAACCTCGTGATCCTGTTCGACTTTCTGCTACTGCTAGTAAAAGGTTTTGCATTCATTAAAGTTCTTTTCTTTTGAAGTCAGGTGTGGGTGTGGGTGTGAGTAGTACATTTACCGTACATTCACACGCACACCCTTTTAGAAAATGCTTGATTTTATTTAGAGTAAAAATTCAATTTAATTTTCTGCTGAAAGTCAATACTAATAGTGATTAACTGTCATTCGTATCTAAATACATATATGTCAGCACGCAGACCGCAGCAGTCTAGGGCCAAGTGAATCGAATTTCGATGAGCGCTACTTGGTATTAAATACTTTATTAATAAATACAAACAAACAAAAAGCATATACAAAAAGAACAACTATTTACGAAAACAAAAAGAAACTCTTTACAAAGAAACTAAACTGACAATATCCGCTGTTTCCCATAGGCCACCTCCATTACCGTCTGATGTCCTACAAAAACAACAATTTCTACAAAATTTCAATGTGTACAAAAGTTTTACCTTTTGCTTCTTTCCTATGCTTGTATTCTTCTATTGATTTAGGCATAAACCACGCTTTCTAGAACAAACATTCAATATAAAAGGAAAAAACATTAAAAATAAAAACATACTTTGCACTCGCATTCATTTCTAACGCATTTTATACTACACCAGCATGAACATACACCCACGTCTGACAAGAACACACTAATCACAACCATACACATCTTATATATTCATTCCATAATTATATGATGATCATCCACTTTCAACCGATTGTCCTTGTCCGCCGGATTTTCCGAACTACCACCCAACATCGACACATCAGCAACAGTAATCGATTCAAACTCCTCCAACGATTGAAATGACGACGATTGAAAAAAACAATTAAAAATACTTATCAAGAACAGTCAGTAACTACTTACTCTTCCATCACAACCATCTTCAGGGTGTGGGTGCTGGTGTGAGAATTCTTTTTATCCGAAACCCATACCGACACTCAAACTCACACCCAGGGTTTCTAATAGAAATCTAAAACAAAATGTATATGTACATTTTATTTTTCTTAGCCAAGTGTATGTGTACACCTTGTTTTCGTATGACAAGTGTATCAAAGTGTATACACTTGACTAGTGGCGTAACCAGAAATGGACAAGTTAGTTCGAAAAATGACGAACTCAATTTAA